TACATCACCTGTACACCCCAGGCTGTAGCTTTAGATTGTCTGTCAAGGTAGCTAGTCAGGTATCTGTTTACTGGTTAACTAAATAATACACATCTCAGCAGGCAAATTCAGTTAGTTACGATCTCTGGGCAACGATAAAACAATCTCAAGTAGCTTCTCTGGTGTTAATCACATCTTCACACCTTTTATTTCTCGAGTTTGATGATAACGCTACTTTATCATCCCATAGGTTGATGGCCTCAGAGTCCCTGTGTTTACACCTGTATACGTACAATACACAGGTATGTTATCGATCAGTCTATAGGTATATAGAGGTGTGGTGATCATCTACATGTACCATTATATGTACCTGTACAATATGCTAATTAGTTGCACCTGTGTTTACACCTGTATACGTACAATACACAGGAATGTTATCGATCAATCTATAGGTATATATAGAGGTGTGGTGATCATCTTCATGTACCATTATATGTACCTGTACAATATGCTAATTAGTTTTGTATCGTCTGCTGGATAACCGAACTACTCGGTACAGAAGCGGACGTAAAACCAATCAATCAATCAACCGCTAATTAGTTACACCTGTGTTTACACCTGGTATTTTTTCATTACCAAATGGGTGTTGTCAATCTGGAATGGGGCTTTCCAAATATACCTGGGATGCATGGCTTATATATTCAGAAAAATCCTACGCTGGGTGTGTTTTGATGGCTAGAAAATTCCCTAGGTCTGATACAGATATACAGGAAGTAAAAACTTATGAACATTCTCGTAAACACAAAAAAAATGCAGGAGTTCATTGATCTGAGAAACACCTGTTCTGGTAATGTAACATAAAATGTACACCTCGGACACAGATGTTATTGATAAATAATATTGATTTGTTAGAATAAACATCTTACACCTGTGACCTGCAACATCTGACTTTACACAGGTGTGGTTCTGGTTACCTGTAATTAACTTACCTATGTTCACAAGGCGCACGTTATCATTGGCAATAGCCGCCAGTGCCAGGGTACAGTTCTCCAGATTCTGATGGTGGTTCATTGGTTTTTTTATGACCCGTCCGATTTTCTTCCCTTGTAGAGATTCAATAAGTGCACATAGCAATACTCCATCCTCAAAAGCGGTTTGTAGATCCTCTACCATTCTTGTATTCCCTCCGACTCTCAGCTGTTCATTTACCCAGTTAGTAAACGTGTTTTTCTGAATCGTAATCCATCTGTCCGACTCCCCCCTCATGCTCATGGCGGCATGCCCCTCCCGAGATAACGCCCTGTTGACAAGCGACATTTTCACCTGAAACTGTTCCTTTCTACGTCCGAAGAGTCCACAGGTAAACTCTACCGGTGTCAAATTTCAAGTCGGGCCGGTTGAGATGAAAGCAGCCCTGTAGCTCGTCCTATCGATTTGACAAGCAGGTATTTGCCTTGGGCTGCTAATTAACAATAAGATGTCCGAGCTTCCCACAGTGTACTGTGGTTGCAGACGTTTTCTGTCGAAACGTTGTACACAAACCTTTCTGGACCACAGTCAAAAACTTGTACCAGAATGGGTGTGAGCGCTATGTTCATTGACGTTGAGTGGCTCGCCTGTGTATTCATATTTAAATTAGTTCACAAACACAAACCGGTTTACCTACATAGTCAATCAAGCGATACACAAGCGACTTCCCCAGTTTTATTTATAGACGCCGTAATCTGTTCGCCCTCTGTCGGACAGGTGAATGATTATGTAAAATGCTTCATGCTAAATGATAAAATACGTGAAATGCGTTATGTGTATTGCTTCATGCTTTTTGCGGAAACGTCATCTGGACGTACATGTACCAATTAGAATTTCTGCCTCTATTACATTTTCATATATCGAATTAGGCAGACTTCCCTGGTATCTTCTTTGGAAAAATTATATCGTTCAAATATGGTCGGTTTTCAAATAATTACGTTTTACGAGACTTATAAAGAGATATGACTATATGTGCCCTCTCGTTCTTGATGTCGTTTCGCGGTTAAAAAATCCAGACGTAACTTTTCATCGTAGTAGTTGTATCTCCTCTCAGTGTACGGTATGTGAGGGTTGGAAATCCTCATCTTTCAGACAACAGGTCCTTAAGCCCAGGTATCAGTTTCGTTGCTTTACGCTGCACTTTCTCGATTGATTCTATGTCTTCTGTTTCAATGATATTTCATCTTAATGTATGAAGGATCTTCTGATAAGCCAAAGTGTACTGTTTGCCTTGTTGACGGTTTGTTGTATATAGGTGATGCAAAACTGAGATTTTCGTCCTCCTTTACTTCTATATCATTTGCTGATGAAATTTTCTCAAGTTTATTTTTCTTTTCTCCCGCTCCTGCCATTGAATAATTTGTTGTCGCCTTTCCTATTATTGTAAGTAGTTTGTATTTTTAAATGATGAAGTTTTAAAAGCCATGTTTTAGACCAGGCTTGCAGATTACCCAGATCATGTTGTAGCGCTTCTCTTTCTTCATCTTTCTTGATTTCCCTGTCAGTTTTTGTATCATCGGCAAACAAAACAAGTTCTTGAAATGGGTGTATCTCTGAGTGCCAACATTTTTAATTTACCTGTTGGGTAACTTATTTTGATAGGGTTTATAGTCTTTTTCTTAAAAGGTGTCTGAGTTTCAACAAGTGAATCTACCTGTATATGCTAATATAAATATACATATATTTTTAATTTTCTGAAGTTTCATATTTTTGATAATATTAACAAGCTGATCCATATAGAATTTGAGATAATATTCATTGAACTGATATTTCAATAACAGATAAATACCTTAATTGGTTTAAACAATATTTTATTTACAAATATGCTGCACATAATCAGAGACATATTATACGTCTCTGACATAATATATAATTTTACATAATGTAATACTAGTGATCTGGCAACAAGAGTAGGCTCTTATATTAAGCCATCTTCCAATAAAATGATAAATAACTTAATTATAAAGCACAATTGATTTAAATTGAACAATTCCCTAATTAAAATATATCTTAGTAATTTAAGGAGGAAACAAAATATGTAAGTACTTATTAGTACCTTGCAGGTGTAAAGGTGATAAAAGTATTTATTTTTAAAGAATCAATATGGTTTAAAAAATGTATTATTGTTTATTTGAATAAACAGGAAAATGAAATCGAAACGGAATTTTCAAATGAAGAAAAAAATATTTTTAGGAATTTAAAAACTTTTGGACAAAACGGAAATATGTATGCATGGATTTATTGGATTATTATCCAGTTAATTATAACTTCGCCTGGGGAAATAGACCTGGTCTCGGGACACCAGAAACTTGGTATATCTCTCAACCCCATACTTTAACCGTTTTATTATACCGATAC